GGCCCCGTCCACAGGAGCTCCGTCCTTGGTCCACTGGATGTAAGCGGCCGGCTTGGCCCCGCGGGTCACACAGGTCAGGTTGTACGGAGTCCCGGCCATCAGCAGGAGCTCCGGGGAGCCGTCCACCACCGGGTCCTCGGGGGGAACTGCAGGAGAAACACGGCCACTACTGTGAATGTGCATCAGAAAGGTGAAGACGCTGTGGAGGAGGTGAGGAGGAGACACGACCGCCACGCAGACACGAAGTGAGAAACAAACGAGAAACTGACGGCGGACTCACCGAGGACGTTGAGTTTGGCCCTCCTGGAGCGCAGGGCGGCCTCCGTGGCCTGACACTCAAACAGAGAGTCATCAGACAGCTCGGCGTTGGAGATCTCCAAGTTGTACTGGCCAATGTCCAGAGCCCGGAGAACCCGGTACCTGGGCCAGGCTGCGGAGGAGACACAGAAAGACGGGGGTTTTTTTTTTTTTTAAATCCGAATCTGAAGTCACTGGGGTGAGAGTTCATGCAGAGGTCAAAGGTCACCAATGATAAGTTTAAGTCACACTAGATCAAATCAAAGGACGGGTGTTTCCAGGGTTTCAGGTTCAAGTCAGAGAAATCAGTCAAACCGTGGATTAAAAGTGAAAAACTTCAGGTCTGACGTGACTGACGTGGTTCAACATCAGGTTGGCAGACTCTGGACCTGGTGCTTCCTGCTGGAGTCACATGACCTTCAGCTGTTTTTAACAGACACTGCTTTTATTTACAGGTCAGAAAAAGAGAGAGACTGAAAAAATAATTCAAAAAATGGTGGTTAAAGTGAAGGAGGCGACGGCCGTTACCGCCGTGAGTCATCAGGATTCTGACGTCCTCACAAAGGAGTTGGAGGAGGGAGATTTAGAAAAGTGACACACACACACACACACACACACAGAGAGAGAGAGAGAAAAACTTTATTTTTAATGTCTGAGGAAAACTTCATCTCCTATTTCTGTCTTCCTGTGAATTCACGGGGGAAGGAACACGTTGTTAGAGTTGCTATTTTTCATATATTGTGAGATCTTTTATTGTGATGAATGCTGGGACATTAGCTGCCTGAAACCTCAGCCGCCGTCAGGCCCGCAGGAAAAGTGAAGATGATGGAGTAGGAGAAGAACGGCTGTTAAATTAGGGGAGCAGTTTGTCTAAATTAAAACTCCACGGTGCAGTTGTTGGGGCGTGAACGCTGCTGAACGCCGCGGATGATCCAGAGTGACGGCCGCCGTTACCTTCCTGTTGTTAGGGTTGAAGCAGACGGACCGCAGATGTATATTACCGAATGGCAG